AAAAAAAAAAAAAAAAAAAAAAAAAAAAAAAAAAAAAAAAAAAAAAAAAAAAAAAAAAAAAAAAAATACAGAGCTGAAACCAAATCTGAGTTGGTTATGCCTAGTCTTGGCCTTATTTTTAAAGACAAGTTCAGATGGCACTATTAGTGAGAAAGTGATTTGGTACAAGCTTTCTACAGATTGATTTGGCACTAAATATAAAAAGTCTAGAATTGTACGTATCTTTTGACACCGCACTTGTACTGTTAGGAATACATCTCAGAGAATTAGAAAAATAAGAACAAATATGTACTTGCATACGCAAAAATAACCATAGTATCATCATTTATAATAGAAAAACACTCTCCCTATACTACAGACTGATGTAATAAAATACAGTGCACTTACATAATGGAGCAGTGGGGGTCCTGAACACACACCAACAGCTGAGTCACAGGCACAAGAGTGACACTAAGCTTAGAATGTTTTCTTCTCTCTAAACATAGCACTTACTATCAACATACTTTGAACGCCACTCTTATTTCATGTATCTGTACTGCTACATTTCCACATCATGTGTTTCTAAAACCACTTTCTAAATGCTTTTAGGACTCTTGTCCAGACTTCTCTCCAAATGCACCCCATTCCTGACATGACCCCCCCAACAATAGCTGTAGAACATCAGCCAGGAACCACAAGTCCAAAGGTGAAGGCTAAACTCACTACTGCTTCCTTATTAATTTGTGACTGTAGTTAATTCTCAACATTCTCCTGGGAGGTCCCAGTCGTGAAGAGGCTTTTAGAATTCATTTTTCCTGAGAGATAAATGATAACCCACCTTCCTCTTTTGTCCCTTAAAAATTAAGTTCACCAGTAAAAGCTCAGCTCAAATGCTACTTCCTCTGTACAGGGGCTGATCCCTGTTTCTCTGGACAGCAGTGCCCTCTGGGCATCTCCTTTAGCATGTAGAGTGGTAAGACTGGTGTTAGTGAGCATGGGTAGGCATGTGTCTGCCTTTCCCATGAGACTCTAAGCTTTCCAGGACAGGGACCTCATCCAAATTTTGTATTCCCCAGGTTGAGCATGAAGTCTTATATTCATGGAACTAAATGCTTGTGAAATTAACTATAATTTTTGCCTTGTTAACCCCACACACTTTATTTCACTTTAAATGCTTATTTGATATTTATGCCATGATTCTATACAGCTTCAAAAAATTCTTTTAATTATAAGAAGTTTTTTTTGTTAATACCTTCCATTCCTTCTCCTCTCCACTGACTAATATGTGACTCACTCAATTCCACTTTGTACTCTTCCCTATGGAGAGCAATTTCCCATTTTTGTTCATAATAGCATGAGGTTACCATTTTTACCTTGAAGCCTCAAGTCACAGAAAAATGACATTTAGCTTCAGGCTAGGAAGAAACCAATTCGTGGTACCTGAATGATTACATGGTTGGTAAAATGTACTCTTTCCTAAATAAGCCTAAGTAGGTGGAAGCATTTAAAAGTAACTTTTGGTCACTTTATGCACTTGAGGATTAAACTTGGGGTGCCAAACTGGTTTCCTGTAAGTGCCGACTTGGATTAACTGGCAGTGCTACTCAGAGGGTGGTTTGTGCTCCATAAGGCTCACGGTTGGATTCCCTGAGAAGGGGGAGAGTCATTCCTTAATCTTAAACATTCAAATACTGAAATTAATTCATAGAAGTTTAAAATTCAGGTGTGACATAGGAATCAGATAACTCAAAACTTTCTGCTTATTCATAAGGTTTCACTTAACTGGGACTTAAGAATTCAGAGACAAATAAAAGCTTATTTATATTTAATTGCTAATTAGATTTTCAGATGTGCTCTTAAAAAAAGCAACTAAAGAACTATGAAACCAATTAGCTTGACAGCATTAACTCACTCAGCACAGATTTATGGATGATCTAATATGCATTAGACACTCCTCTTGCCACTGGGATATAGTGATGAACAAGACACACAAGGTCCCTGCTCTTACGGAGCTTACACTCAAGTGGCAGGAGACAGGAAATAAAAAATACATCATCACAAACACTAAATACAAAAAGAAAAATACCAGATAGAGCAGTGAGATATGGGGACTAAGGGAGAGTGACTGGTAGCTGCCTTAAACTGGGGGGTCAGGGAAGGCATCTCTGAGCAGATGACCATTGAGCCAAGCTCTGAATGACAAGAAGGGGCCACTCTTGAGACTATTAGGGCAGGGACATTCAAATTCATTTCATGGTGAGTATTAGAGGCACAGTGGTATAGTAAAAGGGAATTTGACCTATAATTCCCCAAACACAGTGTTTACACAAAGGAATAACGTGATCTGATTTAAAAGCGTACTCTGATTGCAGTGTAGACAGTGGGCTGGAGGAGGCAGAAGTGGAGACAAGAAGATCAGCTAGGAAGCTGATTTAGCAAAATAAGTGAGAGAGTAGTAGTGGTGGCCTGAACTAAGGTAGTGGCAGAGAAGATGGAGAGAAGAAGGAGAGTCTGAAGGCTATTTAGGAGGCAAAACAGACCAGCATTTGAGACTCCCTGGATAGGGAACAGAGACACGGTGCGGGAGGTGGGTCGTGTGCACTGACTCCCTCATTGCTTAAGGCCCTGGAGTTAAAGCCCTCAGAAGTCTAGCTCAAACACTTCCTGAATACTAACACGCACAGTTTATAAAATTCTGCCTCTAAGTCCTATGATTTTGGACTTTCCCAAAATAGGTATATTAATAAAATATTACTAATGTAGAAAAGGGGTTTGGGAAGGGGTTTGGTAGCAGTCAACAAAAGAAAGACTTCCTATATTCTAGTCTCAGAAATATAAAAATTATATTATAAAACAAACTACAAATGGAAATTTAAAAAACTAACATATGACTTGATATTTAGCATTTCAGAGATAACTCTGTTGGTAATGCTTTTAAGACAAGATGACTATATAAAAATCTTGTTCCCTAAAAACCTAGAATCCAGTATAAGAAATTTTCATGAATAAGTGATGTCAAAATATCATCAACGAATTAACTGTATTAAGGGAATTAAGGGAAAATACTCTGCTATTTCTTTCTGTTTGATTAATACCGTACTTAAGGCATACTTACAGCATATCCTCTTTTGATAGAGTACAATTGCTTTAGACAAGTCCAAACAGGTTCTTTGAATGGAGTGAAACAGCTGTAATAAAAAAAAAAAAATTCTAAATAAAACAGACAGGGGTGAAGTAAAAAATAATCACACTGAACACAACCACCATGTTTGATTTGCCCACCAAAAACAAGATCACATGTCTAAGTGCACTTGGTGTTATGGGTGTTCTTTACAGAGAATGTGACCAAAGCCTTTCAATATGCTCCTATTTTTCTATATTTTTTGTAATTCATCATCTCTGTGATCTAAATTAAGATCTGCAGGAACAATTGTTTCCTCCAAACTATTGAAATAATAGCTGAAAAACAGAAATCCTAAGTGAAGAACCCAATTAGAGGACTTGGTAAACCAGAGACCAATACTCATTCATAATCTAATTTATTCCTTTTACCACTTGCTGTCTTTTTTCTTTTAATGGGGGATCTGTCAATTAAAAATCATATTTAAAAGATGACAGTAACTTATTTTGTAATCCTAATGTATTTTATGGCATGCTTACACAATTGGATAAAGCAAACAAAAATCAATCAGCTGAATGCTCTGTCTGTTTAGAAAACATCTGGTAAAATGGTGTTTAGCTTGTAGCCCCCATCACTCCTTATTTTCCCAACAATTTCATAAAATATACAGAAAGACAACTTAATGCCATGATATGGCCATAATAGAGGAAACTGGGGGAAAGGCAGATGGGTCTGTATTAAGAATAATCTAACTATCTTTTAACTCATGGTTGTCCTAGTCTTTGCTTCAGAAACCAAGATAGCTCAAAAAAACATAGAATAGACTTTATAATTTCTCCACCCTCTGTCCAGTGCCTCAGAGACCAGGGCTGGTTTCAACTAGAAAATCTGGCAGACAAACATTCTGCCTCTGCAGAGCCACTCAATAAGGCAGGGTAAGGTACTCCCTCTTCCTCTCTCCTAGCTTACTGGCCATGATGTTGTAGAAACTGTGTCCTAGTATCATAAAGCACTTCAATATTTGAGTGAAAACAGATGATCTGGATCATTATAAATATGACCAAATTATCTAACAAAAATGGATGCATGCATATATACTTAGGAGATTAAAAACCATTCTAAGAATGCTTAATATAACAAAACTTGGTCATGAAGAATATAAATTTATTAATTCTCATTTCATTAAATTGCACCCTCCACCTGTTTAGAAAAGAAAAAACCAAAAAAAATAAAACCCCAAAAACTTTTCCCCATAAAGCAAAATAGAAAATCAACAGTCTGAATCTGCTCCTTAGCAAATGCTTGATAACAGTATTCTAGGCCACAAACCACCAGCACATAGTAATTCCTGAATATAAGAGCAAGAAGGTTCAAAAACTATGTTCAAGAGTTGTTCTGTTGTTACTGTTCACCTTTTAAAACTTGAGGTATAAATTAAATGCAATAAAATGTACAACCCTGGAGTGTTCAGTTCTGTGCATTTTGACAGTTGTATATATTCCCGTAACCACACCCAAAGCAAGATGAGAAACATTTCCACTGTCGTCAGGCCACTCTGCCATGGCAGCCATTAAAAGACTTCTGTTACCATAGATTAGTTTTGTCTGTTATTGTACTGAGAAGCTGTTTGTGAGAAAGTGATTTTTATTAACAACAATGTGGACAAATATTAAAACTCAGTACAATTCTATATTAACTTCCCAACAGATTGTAATAGAATCTGATCACCATTACAGCTCAGCACACAAGTTTTCTGTGCCAGCAGAATAAAAGTTCTTGGCTTACAAGCTAAACTTCTATGGATAACTCAGAGTAAGAGCACATTGAAATGGTTTGCACATCATTTTTGTAGGTTTTATTGATGGAATTCATTCTCTCTATAAACATCAACATCAGTATTAACATTTCTGCAACAGAAACCTCTATCATGTGTAAAATTACTAGTCCCAGCGAAGTACTCTGGATGCTAAGTGCCTAGGACAGCAGCTATTTTGATTAAAGTACATACAGTTGGTTCAGTAAATGTGCTGCTGCAAGAGCCTACATGTAAATATAAAATTAATGTATTAGTAATTAACATATTGAATTACTTTTTGAAAAATGCTGTCTTTACTAGGTTGTTAAGAAGAAAAGAGCATGAGCTATGAAATGCACATATAACTTAAAATAATTTAAAGCGTATTTAGAATGCAAACAACAGAATAGAGTCTCCTTGGTTCTACTTTCTCCATTGTAAGAATCTCCTGTAGAGCTTCCTTGTCAAACTCAGCTTCCATTTCAAAACTTCCAATTACAGAAGGAAAGAAAGGCTGAGAACTGACATTAATTGCACTAACACGTACACTTAATCAGGTAGTACTTATTGCATGTGTACTGTGTGTCTGGCTGGGGATGCAGTGGTGAATAAGGCTAACATGAATTTGACCTCACTGTGGAGGGAAGGCAGCAGACAAACGAACACTTGAGATAATCCAGGAGAGATGAGTTCTATGAGGAAAATAAAGCAAGGCCACGTGTTAGTGAACAGGGGTGGTGTGGGTAGAGAAAAGGGGTGGACAGGCAGTGACTTTAAACAGTGTACTCAGAAGTGACTTTTAGCCAGTCAAGGGAAGATCTGGGACAAGAGAGTCCACAGAACACAGGAGATGCTTTGATGGGCATGAACTTGCCTGGTTGTGGACTGAGAACTGAGAAAAGGCCATTATGGCTGGAGGGTGGTGAGGGAAGTATGAAGTGTGGTGGGAGAGAAGAAGCCTAGGACAGGGAGGCAGGGGCCAGGTATGGCAGGAGCTTTGCTAGGTACAAGAAATAACATATGGAAAGCACTCTGAATGGTCCCCGGGACATAATAAGCACTCTACAAACATTAGCCATCACTCTAATTATTACCTAATTTAATCCTCATAATAGTTGTAATAAGCAAGCATTCATGTCTCCCTTTCATCCATTAAGAAAATGAGGATAAGAGAAACTGGGCAGTTCTCCCAAGGTTATAATAGCTAATAGGCGGAAAAGTCAGATCCATCTTACAGGACATTCACAGTCCAAAAGTCAGCCCATCTCTCACTGGGAAGCCATTAGGAAGTTTTTCCTGGGTCTGGTTTTATCTTCACATGTATAAAACGAATCTTATCCCTCTTCTCCATGACAGACCTTGCCATATAATTGACAACTAACATGACTCCCATTAACCTTCTCTGCTTTGGGATAACCATGGTTTCCACCATCCTGGCCACCCTTGTAGGAAAGCTGTTTAAAATCTTGAACTTTTTATTTTAGTCCCATTAAACATTTAACACATGAACTTCAGCTTACATATGAAATCTAGAGACCATTTTAAATCCTTATCAGACCATATAACGTATTATTCCTCTCAGTGCCCTGTCATTCACAGAAGTGATTAGTATGCTTTCAAAATTTTAATCTTACCTGGAGAATATTGTGTTAAGTGAAAAAAAAATTTTTTTTAATCTAAACTATTGGCAGAAATGTATAGCAAGACAGGGAGTTAGTGGGCCTTCTACCAGTTATATTAATATACCAGATCAGCCAGATATAAATTCAGCTTACTTTATTACTAACTAGTCTAACTAAATATCTGCTAATTTAATTCATTATAGAATTTTCCAGGGCTCAATAACAACCTGATTAGACTTTACTTCCTAGGATATTTTACTTGAGTCCTTAAAAAAAAATTGCCTGACCCTAGTCTCCCAAAAACTCTCCAGTTCTGATTCCTCAGCTGTCACTAGCAGCAGCTCTTTGATTGCATTAATTTTTTTCAACAACCACTTACTGAGAATTTACCACATGCCATGCATTCCAACCGAGTGCTTGAAAAACAAATTAACTGAGGCATGCTGAATTTGTATGTTTTAAAAAATAAGCTGGGATCAAACTTATCTCATCCTTGGTTTTCCTCATTTTCAAACACAAAGCACACCTAGGCCTGCCAAGATGAGTATACTCCAGGACCTTGACCCCAGCGAGGTGGCTGTGTTGTGGCTGAGTGCGATAAAGAGCTCACCTCTAGCTTGGCATCCAGGTCTGCGTCGGAGGCCACGACATGCTCATCTTCTTTCTTCCCTGTGGCTTTAATAAAGGCCTGCTTCGTTTCCCAATACTTCTGCTGCATCTTATTTACAACTGACTTATCTTGAGCATATCGATCCTGCAAGTCCCAGGAATAACTGCTAAAAACATTTAAAGAACTATTTTATTCATGACTTGCATAAAGATTAAGATACCTTAATGTGAAAGAATTTATCTAAACATGATTTTCCCTTATATATTTATATTCATAACATTAATAAACATATACATACTTTCTTATAAGGTTATTATACCAAGAAAGTAAATCGACCCTTTCTAACTTACTCCAAAACCTTAAAAATTAGAGTGAGGAATTTTAGAATCTTTTGCAGGAAATGGAGAATCTAATCCTTGAAGAGAATTTTGATATGCAGGTTGGACACACTCCTTTCAGAGGTGGGGATAAGGCCCAGCAGGCAGGGTGACTGATCCAAGGCACCCCATGAGTCAGAGATAAAGCCGGATACCGGCACGCTCTCTCCACTCACCATCTCGCCAGCACTGACGTGATGGCAGGAAAGTAGAGATAAGGGGCTGAAAAACAGCACGCTTGAAATCTGTTACAGAGGAATCCAAAATAATCCATCACATAGAATAAGAGAGTGGAATGGTGGTTACCAGGAGCTGGGAGGAGGGGGAAATGGGAAATTGCTAATCAAGGGGTATAAAGTATCAGTTATGTAAGATAAATAAATTCTAGAGATCTGCTATACATTATTTTGCCTGTGGTTAACAATATTGTATTACACACTTAAGAGGGAAGATCTTATGTTAAGTGTTCTCACCCCATAAAATAAATAAAAGTAAAATTTAAAAATCTGTTAGATTCCTGATTCTTTAAATTCTTCAACATAAGTGCTTAAAGTACAGGTAGGAAGCCATTCTTCAGGAAGACCATAGTGAAGAACAAATCAAAAAGTATGTAAAGAAGAAACTAGAAACAAAATTAATTGAGAATGAAATGGAATTCTGCAAAAGTGACCCAAACACTGACGGAAAGTTCATCTCTCCCCCTGCTTTTTCTACATCCTCCCCAGTGTAGAGTCCCTGCTCCAAAGGCCCACACAGGGCCCCCAGGAAACTCCCCTCTGCAGAAAAGCACCTTCTACCCCATCCCATCACCATGCAAAATGTGCCAGATTTGTGTCCTAAACATGAGCTGCTTTATACTACTATATTAAAATACCAGTATCTCAAAGCTTGATGACTTATACTGTCCTTCATTTACAATTTCATTAAATTTACAATTTGCAATTCACACATTTGTTCTTAAAAAGTCAGAAAGTGTTTCTGATGACTTGCTTCACAATGGTTATCTTTGGAGAGAGAAGTAGGATTATGGAAAAATTTCACTGTCTGCTTTGTATCTGTCTACATTATTCAAAATTTTTATTATGAGCTCAAATCAGAGAAAATAAGATAAAAACATGTATAACATTTATGTAAAATATAAGCTTTCTATATAAAATGCACATTAAAAGATTGGAAAGATATACCCCAAAGACTATGGTCATTTCAGGGGAATGGGATTCTCCAGAGTGGACTCTGGGATGGACTCTGTATGATATCTTTTTTTTGCCAAAGATCATGTATTAACTGAAAAAAAAAAAATCCATTAAAAAAAAGGGGACTTTAGAGAGCTAGTGGATACCCCCCACCCTCTATCATTTAACAAATGAGGAGGAATCGGGTTTCAAAAGGTTAAGAATCCTGCACTAAGTCACAGAGGATTAAAATCCAGACCTCTAAATCCCGGTCTAGTGCTCATTTCAATTTCCTCTGCAGCCCTTGCATTCGAGCAGCAGGCTATGGAGTGGAGTAAGCAGGAGGAAGAGTCTGGGAAAGGGTCTGCTTCTCAAGCTTTCCAGTTTCTCTGAGGTGAGTAACCAACTACTTCCCTGAGCCTGCTGCCAGGTTATGACAGCCACTGCAAGGGTCACAAGACGGGACCAGCCCAGAATGAGAGAAGATGGAACAATTAAAAAAAAAAAGCCTGACAACACTTAGAGAACTGTCAAATGGGGATACTCAGGGAAATTAAAACCCTTAGCCACTTACTAATTACTTTTTAAAACTCATTACATTTTAAGACATGCAAAAATTCTTTTGAAGTTTGACATTTGACCTTACAGAGGACTTGGACCTGATTGCTTCTCTATTGAGAGGGGAGGGATTAAAATGTGTATTCCTTATTCTAATTAATTGTACATTTGAAAATTGAAAATACATATTGCATTATTTTATGATTCAAATTAAAGAAGGTAAAACTTGACAAACATCTGTTTGCATGGTGGGCCATGGGTCCAAAAGGGTTCAGAAACACTGCTTGAACAGTCCTGAAACTTATAAGTGCTGCCTAGAATTGTTACAGGCATATAAGTGACAGAGCTAACATTGCCATATGATCACCACACCTGTGTTATTCAGCATCACATACTTCCCACCATGACTGGCTCCTGAATGTTCATGAAGGTTGAAGTCATGACTATAAATTAAGTTTGAGTAGTGTGAGGATGTAGAATCACTCCGTATTTTACAGCTGCCCTACATAAAATTCCCTTACAATCAAATGTTAGAAGTTACAAATAAGATAGTAACAAAAAATGCATCTACTCATTACATTTCAAAAAAATGGTGGTAAGTAAAAACATCGTTAGATTCCCAAGAGAAAAGTTATACATAAATGAATTTCTTAGAGAAAACACATTAGATAAGAATTTCCAATATTTTTTGTTACTTGGTTTCACACCATACTTACCAGGGATATTGAATTTGGCTATACTCCACGATGAAGAGGAACTAACAGGTTATTTACTGCTAATGTATCTCTTGATTGTTCTACTCAGTAGACATTTATTGAGCATACACTATATGCTTTCCACTTTTATGCCTTTCCCAATTCAGAAAAGATAACAAAGTACTTACCACTTGTGTCCTGACATGTTTTCTTCCTCTTCTACTGTTGATGATTTGGGGAGAAGGGGTAGAGAAGAAGCATGAGAGGATAAGTTATATTATAACCTGAAACAAAACAAATATGTTTAACAGTTACACACTATATTGCAGCTATACATTAATTTCTCATATATAAAAATTTTCAATTTAAACCATTTCTAGTTGTATTTTAGATACCAAACACTATTGCACAGGATTGCTGCACACCAGTGTCAAGAACAGTTTAGCTAAGTAACACTGGAAGAAATATCACAAATGAAATTTTAAAAAGTGAACAGGCAGATTGAATGAAAAAAGTGGGTTGCAGAGGACTATGTAAAATATAATGCCATTTATATAAAGTTTAAAAACATACAGAACAATATGGTATATTGTTGACGTATACATATATTATACAGTGAAGAAAAAAAGAATTTCTTAGGAGTGATGAACACTAAATTTCAGACAGTGGACCACTGCAGGGGAGGCTTGGGGATGTGATTCGAGAGAGGTATACAGTAGCTTCAACTGTGTATGTATGGTAGTCCCCCTTACATGCGAGGGATGTGTTCTAAGACTCTCTGAGGATGTCTGAAACTGCAATAGTACCAAACACTTTATATTTTATGTTTTTTCCTATATATACATTCATACCTATGATAAAGTTTAATTTATAAATTAGGATCAGTAAGAGATTAATAAAAATAACCAATAATAAAGTAGAACAATTACAACAATATGCTATAATAAAATTGACGTGAATGTGGTCTCTCTCTCTCTCTCAAAATATCTTATTTTTGTACTGTACTCCCCTATTTTTGGACTGCAATTGACTGCTGGTCACTGAAACCACAGAAAGCTAAACTATGGATAAGGGGGGACTACGGTAATGCTCTCTTTGTTAAGCTAGGTGGTGAGACTATTGCATCTGTACGTCTCTGTATAGCTTGAAATATTTCATAATCCATATTTTTAAGAAAGGAACCAGCACACTGTAAAAACAAACCAAAACCAAAACAAACAAAAACCCAAACAAAAAGTGAGTTGATAGGCCAGAATGGGATACCAAAAAGGGTACAAAGGAGAAATATACATGCTATTTGCCAGCCTAGCATTGTATTTTCATCTCATCAGTAATATGGGAGTCATTTAAGGAGTCGACCTGCCCAGCCACAACAGTGGCCCACACTGGCCCAGCAGTTACTGGGAAGAATGGAGAACTCACTACCCAAAGCAATGGCTTTGGGCCTGACACAGCACTTCTGGCTGCTGCAGAGGTGAGTGAGTGCTCGGCAGTATCAATCCAATCATTCTCCTACTGTCTCAGGAAGGGTCCTGACAACCAGTACCCTTAAAATGATTAGAGATTTCCGAGGCTTTAAAAAAATGTTTTAAGGGAACTAAATGAAGGTGTTGAAATTACAGGCTTCAGGTACAGAGACATGAAAGGGCAAGAAGGGAATCTTCAGAGATTGTCCGGCTGCCTCTGAAATGACAGCATCCTGTAATCAACAACTCCTTCTCGTGGAGGGCAACCAGGTGTTTGGACAATGACATTCAGGATGAGTAAGCTTTGTCCTTCACTCCGTGCAGTCATGGAGGTGCCACCAACTCCAGTCCTCCCACCACCCACGCGGCTGCACTGCAAGCACACGTGTACTTAGCTCAAAACTTCCAACAATATTTCTCATAAAAGAGGTTGTTTAAAAAAAAATTGGCTGGCCAGTTAGCTTAGTTGATTAGAGTGTAGCCTTGTAATACCAGGGTCAAGGGTTACATACCAGCCAGTTGCCAAAAAAAAAAAAAAAGAGGTTGCTCAAAGGAAATAAAATTATTATACTCTTCCCTTGAGTTCAATTTCACCATGAACTATTATGATAGTTAATTTTTTTGATTGTGGTAAAAAACACATGTTTACTCTCTTGATTTTTAAGCGTACAGTATTGTTAACTAGATACACATTGCTGCACGACAGGTCTGTATACCTCTGTCATCTTGCATGACTGAAACTCTATACCCATTGAACAGCAACTCCTCTTTTTCCCCTGCCCCTGGCACCCAGCAGCCCCATTCTACTTTCTGATTTTATGAATTTGACTAGATACCTCATGTAAGTGGAATCATGCAGTATTTGTGTTTTGTGATCGGCTTATTTCACTTAACATAATGTCCTCAAGATTCATCCATATTGTAGCATATGACAGAATCTCCTTCATTTTTAAGGCTACACATTTTATTTATCCATTCATGTGTCAATGGATACTTGTGGTGCTTCTACATCCTGGCAATTGTGAATAATGCTGCAATAAACATTGATGTACAAGTATCTCTTTGAGATCCCATTTTCACATCTTCACCAATGTTTATTTTCACTTTTTTTTTTTTTTAGTGACCATCCTAATGTGTGTGAGGTGATATCTCATTATGGTTTTGATTTGCATTTGCCTGATGATTAGTGATGTTGAGCATCTTTTCATATATTTGGTGGGCATTTATATATTTTCTCTGGAGAAATGTCTTTGCAAATCCTTTGCCCATTTTTAAATTGGGTTATTTGGGGTATTTTGTTATTGAGTTGTGGGAGTTCTTTATATATTCTGGATATTAACCCCTTATCCCACATATGGTTTGCAAATATTTTCTCCCATTCTGTAAGCTGCCTTTTCACTCTGTTGACTGTCTCCTTTGCTGTGACTTTTTGATAAATTTTTGATTATTAAAATACCTAACAATTTAAGTTCTTTACAGTAAAACAAATAACAAAAATCACTGAGCAAACTGCCCCTTCTAGCTAGACTTCCAGGCTATTCCCAGATTATGATGCCGTCTGGCATTGTTCCTCAAGGATTTGTTCACAGGCCACTTGTATTGCAACCTTCTGGGGTGTTAAAATATAGATTCCTGGGCCACATCCTTACCTAATGAACTAGAATTCCTGGGAGCAGGTCTGTAAATCTATATCACTTTGGTAGTGATTCTTAAGCATATTAAAGTCTGAGAATCACAGCTAAATGGCACACGGGAAAAATCCTTTCTGGAAATGGATTCTTCTTAAACAATCTGCTGGATTATATGGCACTACAGCATATAATCATGGGTGGCCAAAACGAGGTCCACTCTACAGGGCACATCTGGACGTCTCACGAGAAGGCAGCTGCAGCCAGAGCTTGCATCTCTTTTTACATATGTTCAAACTCCATATACCAGAGACAATTAATAAACATTGGAAGATTTCCTGCATAATCCATCTCATCTTGCTCTATCACTTTCTAAATCCACAGTGTCAAAATCACTACTTGAAAAAAATCATTATAATCCTTATCCATTCATTTCAGGTCAACAGTTCGGTTTATCAAACACTCACTGAGCATCTGTTTAATATGTACCAGGCACTGTCCCTGGCCTCAAGGAATTTACAGTCGAGATCAGCTCTGTCCAATAGAAATACACTATGAGCCACATACGCAATTTTAAATATCTCATAGCCATATTATAAAAGTAAAAAACAAAAAAGTAAATTAACCCAATATATCTAAAATATTATTTCAACATGTAATCACTATAAAAATTACCAATATTTTACATTTGTGTTTTTATGCCAAGTCTGAAATACGGTGTGTATTTTATTTTATTTATTTATTTTTTCCTTTTTGTCTTTTTTCGTGTCCGGCAACGGACCGCAACCCTCAGTGTCGCGCCCGTACCGGACTGGGACCGGCAATGGGATCGCAACCCTCGGTGCTGCGCCCGCCCCTCGCTCAGCCAGTGAGCGGGAACCGGTCTGTATGTGGGATCCGAACCCTCGGCGGGAGCGCTGCCGCGCTCCCAAGCGGCACACTGTAGCAGTGCGCCACCGGGCCGGCCCGGGTGTGTATTTTAAACTTACAGTAAATCTCAATTCAGACTACCCACATGAAGTACTCTATAGCCACATGGGGTTAGTGGTATTGGACAGTGAAAATTTAGCAGTAAAGAATTTCCAGAATCAGGAGACCCTCGACATTTGCAAAGCACATATAACAAGAATTCCCAAATTTTTAAATGCTGCTGTAAAAATATCATTTCCTCTATACAAGGAAGTCTATGATTAGCTAATACCTCAATTCACAATTCTGCAAATGAAGCTATTTCTCCCCTTCTGCCACAAGGCACTTACAAAACAAGCCCCAAATGAATGCTGTCATGTCTCGAGCTTTTTAATAGCACTGAGAAGACTTAAAGTTCTGCTCGTGGCCATTTTACCTTGGGAGACAAGCAAAGAACAGCAAGTATCAAGTTGCTTATAGACTGTGAGCACCATGATATGAAAGGCAAAAGCACCAGTACTGTCACAGTCAGCACAACCTGACCCCATGAACGTTTGTGTTTCACAGTTAAACTGTGTCCTCAAGGAAGACAAAGCAGTTGCACCAATAATAAAGACCTGCTCAAAGAAGCAGGGGCCCAAGAGGTAATAGATCAATGCAAAGCAACTTCCTAATTTTGATACAACCTTGGGAGGGTGGGAATGAGTTAGTGAGGAGCAGGCTCTGTGTCTAAAGACAGAAGCAAATGGGAAGGATGCTCAAGGTGGGACTGCTGCTGAGATCAGCACTTTCTCAGGTGACACCAAGACTACCAGCCTACGCACCTCGGACTTTCCCAGGATGCACCTTGATGGGGATGCAATATTTTCACCTCATGATCTAAGGCCAGGCATTAAAACCACAGCTGTTCTCAGCCACACCTATATGGCCTGGGAGAACAGAGGAGAGGTTCTCTGCTCAGGTTTTGTACTGGGGTCCTGTGCAATAACTATGCTCATTTTTCCTCATTATACAGTATATGCTTGCTGTGTCGAGTCCTCAACTTTATTCCCCTAAGTGGATGGGCAAAAGACTACAATAACTGTCCCACTGGTCTTTATTTCCTAGAGCCATTTAAAAATCATTTTGAACAAACTGGACAGCTGGGACATGAGAAAAGTTTTTTCCAAAGGTTCACAGAATGCTAAAGCAAGCCTGGTTTATAGAGAGTTTGACTCATTGCTACAAAGTCAGTCTGTCCTTGGCTGCCTTGAACGGTGATACTGGATTCTTCTCCTTGGA